GCTCCCAAAATAAAGATTCTAGAAATTTTCCAGAGGAGGAAAATTTCTTGGAATTACCAGAGGCAGAATACAAAAGATTAATATACAGAACTCTTCAAGAACTTAGGAAGGAAATTAAGCAACACGCAGAACATGCAAGAGAGGAAATTAGAAAGATTAGTGGAGAGCATAATGACAGATTTAACAGGCTGCAAGAATCCATAGAAAGACAACAATCAGAAATCCAGAAGATTAACAATAAAATGTCAGAATTAGACAACTCAGTATAAAGTCATAGGAGCAGAATTGAGGCAGGGGAAGTCAGAATTAGTGAGATTGAAGATTAAGCACTTGACACCAATTTATTTGAGGAAAAATCAGATAAAAGGATTAAAAAAATGAAGAAGCTCTAAGAATTATGTGGGACTCTTGTATCAAGAAGAACAGCCTTCAAATGATTGGAGTACCCAAACAGGGAGGGGAGGGATAACAGAAAATACAGAGAGAATTGTTGAAGATTTGTTGGCAGAAAACTTCCCTGATATTGTGAAGATGACGAGATATCTATCCGAGATGCTCATCAAACACCACATAAGATAGATCCCAAAAGAAAATCACCAAGACATATTATAATCAAACTTGCCAAAACCAAAGATAAAGAGAGAATTTTAAGAGCAGCTGGGGATAAACGAAAAGTCATCTACAAAGGAGAGTCAATAAGAATAAGCTCGGACTATTCAGCAGAAACCATGCAGGCAAGAAGGCAATGGGATGACATATATACAGCCTTGAAGGAAGAAAACTGCCAGCCAAGAATTATATATCCAGCAAAACTCTCTCAAATACGATGGCAAAATTAGGGCATTTCCAGATAAACGGAAGTTTAGGGAATTGGCAAAAACCAAACCAAAATTACAAGAAATACTAAAGGGAATCCTTTAGTTAGAAAACCAGTAACATCAGATAATAACCCAAGACTAGAACACAGGACAGAGCAACCAGATATCAACCCAGATAGGGAAGTCAGAAGAGTAAATCACAGGTAAAACACTGAAAATAGGCAAACAGGTGTTAATATGTAAAAGATAACAAAATTAAAACAAAAAAGAGGGACTTTAAAAATGTCGACATAGATTTTTCATACGGAGAGGAAGTCAAGGCAATATAAAGAAGTAAAAGACTGGTATAAACTCAGAAAAATAGGGGTAAATATTAAGGTAACTATGAAGGAAACTAACAATCCTACAAGTCAAAATAAAAACTAGAAAAATGTAAAGACTCAGCAAACAAAATCAACCACGATGAAAATATGTAAATAAAAATGACTCAGCACAGAAAATTAAGTGGAACAAAGAAACTATGAACAACACAGAAAAAAAGACATCGAAATGACAGCACTAAACACATACTTATCAATAAATATGCTGAATGTAAATGGACTAAACGCACCAATAAAGAGACAGAGTGGTAGATTGGATAAAAAAACATGGTCCGTCTATATGCTGCCTACAAGAGATACACCTTAGACTTAAAGACACAAACTAAAGCTCAAAGAATGAAAAAAAATGTATCAAGCAAACAACACTCAAAAAAAGAGCAGGAGTGGCAATATTAATCTCTGACAAACTAGACTTTAAAGTAAAATTCTCCACAAAGGATAAGGAAGGACACTGTATAATGATTAAAGGGTCAATACACCACGAGGACATAACTATAATAAATATTTACGCACCAAATGACAGGGCTCCAATCTACATAATACAAACTCAGACAGCTCCACAATAGTAGTAGGAGACTTCAACACACCGCTTTCGGTGAAGGACAGAACATCCAGAAAGAAGCTCAACAGAGACACTGAAGATCTAAATGCTACAGTCATCCAACTTGATCTCATAGACATATACTGAACACTCCACCCAACAGCAGCCAAGTATACTTTCTTTTCCAA